AAAATTTTGAACGTGAATCAACAAACGAGATGGCATGGCCTTTCACCTGTCACCCGTCTCGAGCGGGTTAATTGGAAATTTCTTATTCTATAAAGATTTTCATTTCCTGTCTCGGGGATTTATGTCAATAAGTATAATTAGGCTGCATTCTATTGATTAGTTTGGTATTTGATGTTGAAAAGATGAATTTGTGACACATTTGTAATCTTGTTCTATACCATCACTTAAGAATGAGGCTGGAATGACCCAAAATTTGTCGCATTCCCATCTTGCATGTGACTTATTGGCTGTTTTGGAAGCTTCTTTAATTGCGACCTTATTGCCTATTTGACCATGGAACCCCTTCGATGCTTTGTTGGCACTCAGTGATTAACATATTTGGATCAAACAATGGATTTAGAAAGGATTTGTTACATAGTTTACTCTTGTATGTAGTCATAATCAGCAACAAATGTATCTGGGTCCAAATGGGTGTATGAGAGCTTTCACCAGAGCTTTGTTGGCTGTGATTGAACAACATATTTGGGCTGACTATGAGGGTAAAAGAATCTCATTGATGCTTTGTTATCCCTCATTAATCAACATATTGTTACGACAGCAGAAGTCATGCAATTCTGGGAACATGCGCGCTGGAGTTTCTGTAAGGATCATGAATTTTCCTGGCAACTCTAGTTTGTTCGAGGTGCCCTCTTTTTTTAGTATATAAGCCGGGCAAGAAAAACCAGCACGTTGGAATAGATATGCAGATAGATCAAAGGGATAAATAATTGAGTCAAGCGAACAGTACCACCGTAAATAAAGTGTGTGAATCACTGTGATTTATAGTGTGGACTCGTATCACTAAAGTTCCTTGGAAAAAATTTATACCAGAAATTAACAAACGAGCAGATATGTAACAATATTTATACCAGCTATGAGTGTAATGAGTATAATCTCATTGATGCTTTATTGGCCCTCATTAATCAACATATTTATACTAATTATGAGTGTATTAGTGAATTGTTTGTTTGTGTTTATGATTGTTCTACAAGGTTGGTTCACGAACGTTGAGTCACTTTTGGTTCTCAGTATTATTTACAATTCATGTCAGTGCCAATATAGTGGAAATGTTCCTTTATTCACCTGGTAAAAAGCCTGGTCTTTTCCTAAGTTCTCTTTGTCTTATGTTTCTGAGAATTATAAACTGACCCTATTTTCATGGCACATTTTAGTTTATCACTCAGGTGTTTGTTAATACAGATATTGTGCATATTTCTGTAATACAAGAGGGTGTGGTATTCTAAAGTGACTTAATTTTCATGTGTGTATGAGAATTCCTTAATAACACAGGTTTGAACAGAAAATTTAGAGTAATTGTAATTGAAAACTTAACTGAGTGTTATACCTGTATCAGAAATTAAGGACACTGGACACTCAGAATATTGTTCCACAGTTTTCCATCTCTGGAGACTGATTTCTGTACAACTATATTCAAGCATGAACTGGGTTCAACTGCGAAAGAATGACTGCTTCAATCATGCAAGAAAACTTGTATCCTTTCTGTTTTGATGGCTTCATGATATTTATGGTTTCCCATCTTGGCATGTACATCCACAAATAGCATTTTGAGATGTCAGAGACTTGACATCGACCCTGCAATGGAGCATTCTTCTACCAGGTAAAGGAAAATGCTTCGCTTTGTTACCCTGGCTACCTGTTTAATCATCATTTAGGATGAGAACTGATAACGTGTCTGACAGTCCAGGTATATTTTCAGAACCTGCCCTTTGCTGAAAGTCAGTTCTTTTTCATGCACTTGTATGGCAAGTAAGAAGTTATAGAAGAAGCCTATTCTTATAAATATTGTTACGTATCTGCTTTTTTGTCAATTTCCGGTATAAATTCTTTCCAAGGAACTTCAGTGATACAAGTCCCTTCTTGATTAAACCAGTTTATTCTTTCTTGATACAAACCTTTAGTACACGGTAATTCCACAGTCCCTAACTTTTCTCTCTACCAGTACAAACACATACTTTATATTACTATTACTGCTGTTCGCTTCTTTAATTATATACCTCTATATCTATCTATCTCCAGCTGGCTTTCTTTGCTAGGCTTATATACTAAAAAGGGGGTATCTAGATCACACGAGCTGCTGGGCAAATTCATGATCGTTCGAGAAACTCCAGCGCGCATGCTCCCAGCATCACGTGACTTCCGCTGTCATAAAAATATATTGTGTGAATTTTGATTATCATTTATTGAAGTATAAATTATATTGAATCTTGTTATAGACTAACCAACATGATTTGTACTTCTAGGAAAAGTTGATTCCTTGGAAGAAAGTTTTCTACATACAAATTGTGATATAGCATCAGAGAAAAGTGAGGTAATTAAACTTTTTACAGTTGTGTTATTAAAGAAAATGTGTAGCTGTAATTATGTCTTTCTGGAATTTGTTTGTTTGGCATATAATCAGTAATGACATATTTGTAGTTACGAGCTGAATAAATTCACTACAAGTTTGCTGCATTGTTGTGAATAAACTTATTAGAGCTCTTGTTACAGTAGTAATATTGCTAGTTCAGAAGTATTGTAGTGCACACCAGAATGTAAACATGTTTTAACAAAATTATATAATTGGTTGAACAATTGCCAAGTTTTATATTGTTACGTCTCCATTTGTTAATTAACTTTCCGTAACTTCGTTCCGACGAAACTTTAGCGACACAAGTCCTTATTTCATAAAACTGGTTTATTCTTTCCGAATATAACTTTACGATACACTTAATTTCAACAATCGCGCTAAAACAAACGCTATAACTACGAACGTGCTCAATAATACTCTCTGACTGCAGATAAATTACTCACTGTCTACACACACACTGTTGTCACGTTGTGAGCGTCCTATTTATATACCAGAAAAACATATATCTAGTAAATGCTAGGGCATTCACGAAGGAACAAGATACTTCCAGAAAATAGGTGGTGTGACAATAGTCACGTGACCCCCTGATGCAACAATATTTAAAGAAGAATGAATTTTTTAGCTAGCTCTTTTCATCAGATAATACAGATTACAACATGCACAGAATTCAAAGAAATTGCATGTGTATTACTTGGAATGTTGAACATGAAATGTTTGTATAAAATTACATCTGTTACATAAAAATTATAAGTCCTTAAAATATAAAACTAATAAAATTTAAACAAAAAATGATAAAATCTACAAACCATGGGTGACTAAAATGATCCCCACTTTTGCCAATCTCTTTATTTCATACACCAAAAATCTTATATTTATGGAATGCATCCATGCCTAAATATGATTTAGAAACTTTTCAGCACTTTGTTGCCTCTTTCCACCTTTACTTGGGAATATCCAACACAACACTCCCCTTTCTGGACATATATATACAAGATGACCATCTGACCACTGGTATACATTACAAAGAAACACATTCACACACAAACTTACATTTCGAATTTTCCCACTCGTACATTATCCAAAAGTCAATTTCTTAAAATTCCTATGACTACATAAACTACATAGTGATGATAATCATTATAAATCTGAATCCAAAGTGACAACTTGTTTTTCTAAAAGGCTCTACCTTGATTCTATCATCCATGATGCAGCCACCTAAGCTAGCTCAAAAACCCAGGAGCAAACACTCAACTCTATCAAGAAATAATGAACCGATCATATTCCATATGTTAACATACCATCAGACCAACAACAAGATCAAAGTTAATATACTAAACAATTACACAATACTTGATGAATACCCTACCACTAGATCTCTTTTCAAGGACACACCCATTATTTCTTAAAGATATGAGAAAAACTTGAAAGAAATCCTGGTGCAGAATAATAACAAACAAAGAAAAGGAACAGGAATCGGGAAGATAATGTTGCATTTGTAACACCTTTTATTAGTTCATGAATGCTCGAGTGTTTACTAGATATGCAGTATTCTTGTATTCACAACGAGCGAACGATTCATGTGCTTGACTCGATTGTTGTCTCTATCTCTGTCTGCAATCAATTACATTGTTGCTGTCACTTCTTGGTGGTCTTATATACGAGAATACCACATATATATAGTAAACACTCTAGGCTTCAAGAAGGGACATGAATTTTCATGACGTGTTACTTGCGTCACGTGACTTCCACTGTCATTACAATATCAATAAAAAAGTTGTGAGGGAATTGGGTATACTGATACATCTGATAAGTCTGGTCATTTGTTCAGCATTTAGACCCTCCTATCGTTATCAGAAAAATCACTATATTGTATGTAATCTGGGGCTTACAAGAAGTATATGGAGAAACTGATAGACTCATAAAACATTAGTGAGATTGGTAGAAGTAAGGTAAATCTGATCACCCTTTTAGTATTAAAATGTAAAAGAAATGTCATGGTTTCCTAGTCAGGAATCATTGGATCTGAGAAGGCTTCAATTGACAGGGATAAAGATGTACCACTTTAAATGGTGGATCTATGTATATTTATATATGAATGTTTATTAAGCTGGAATATTCACATGAGTGATTTTTTTGGAATTAATTGAATATTTTCTTCACCATTACTATTTTATTGAAACATTTATTACTTTTTGCTTTTTCATTGTTGATAACATAACTGTATAACAGATGATATCTAATAATTCATTGTTGTTATTTTTAATTATACCATATGTTTTGTTATGTTAAGACTGGATTTAACTGTTCTGTATGTCTACCTCTTGTTAAAGCCATGAGTTCTAATGTTGAGGAATTGAAGAATTTTCATTGGTTTCTGTCTGTTTGTTTTCATAAAACAATATCTCTAGTCCACAGGTGTTTCCATATAACTTACTTTCTACTAGTTATGTATGAAAACCTCATCAGCTGTTTATAAAAAGAACCTAATATCTTGGATTTTACTTCTGATTACAAAACTTATTCTGTGTTGTATCATCTATAATATTTACATTATATTAGTATTTTATATTAAATCTATTCATGAGCCCCACATCATTGTTTCATTCCATGGATGTTGATGCTCTGTTTGTTTGATAGCAGTACTTTTTCTCTTCAGCTTTACAGCAGACGAGTTTCCACTGTGGAAAGCTCCTTTGTAATGCTTTAATATTCTGTCCTACATTCCTTCCATAATACATATAGTTTACCAGTACCCATTTCAATAGTAGCCACTTCAGCTCCCACATACCCCATATTTAACATGGTTCATCTGTATCTCGCATGTAAATCATCCTGCAACACACCCTTCTGTCGCATGCGACTCCCTCTATTTGATTCTACTGACGTATCACTTCTCATTTAGCAGTGTTACTGTCAGGATATAAAAGACTGTTTGGTTTAATTATTAGTGATTAATTTATATTTTTCAGTGAATATTTCATTATCTTTAAGTTTGTACTAATGAGAGTTAAAAGTAGACGATTGTAGAAAGTTTTGTTAAAACTAATTTGTGTTGAGAATATAAAAAGTGGCCAGACAGCTATGTAATAAACTATGATATAGATAGTGTGAGATGAGTGGGAAGCAGCAGACAGACAGTATTACACAGATAAAAGCAAAGAGAATGTAGTTGTGAAGTCAAGTAACGTAAATGTGATAGGCCTAATGTTTAATATATATATATATTAGAGTGAAATTAACAGT